AACGTGGGAGACCCGAGTGTTTCCACTCAAAGGCCACTGGTCAAAATTGGTCATAGCTTGTCAAAGCTGGTCATGACTTGTCCTAACAGGTCCAGGCCGGAGCCAGTCCAAGCTCGTCAAAGCCTTGATCGAATCTCAGCCATAGGCCAAGAAACGATCCAATATTTGTCAAAACCCCCGTCCGAAAAGAATAATCTAATAATAGAGAAGCTAAGTGAAGAATGATTCAACCTTGAAAAAGAGAGCTATTTATGGTGCCATGGAGCATCTCATTGTACTAAAGTGGGATAGTCCATTGCTTGGGCTGTGATTGGCTGCTGGTACCTGAGTGGAGGTATTTCTATATAAATACCAGCTTGATTCATCAGTTAGTTTGCAGGGTTTGTATTAAGTTACAACCTGCTTTATTTTTGTCTGCCAGCTGGACGCTAGCTGGGACCCTTACACTGGTAAGTGCTGTTTATTGTATTGTTATTCTACGAAATGAAAACTTAGCCTTTGCATTTCCTTTTATCTTTATCCATAAGTTTGTTTTTTATAATCATTTCATCCCAAGTAAGGTAAGAGTCCACTAATACACAGGGGGGGGTACAGGGAGAGCCACTAGCATGCTCGGGGTTACAGAGAGTGAAATTGAGGGAAAATCCTGTGTATAGAGGTAAGAATAAAAGATGAATAGAGTTCAAGTCAACAGAAGATGGCAGTTGATGTTGCATTTAAATTTTTGAAGATTGTAGTTATCAGGGAAGCAAGTAGGAGGAAGAGAGTTCCATTGTAAGTGCATGAAAAGAAACTATTGAAGTAGAAGTGGCAGTTAAATTTAAGTATTTCAACAGTAAAAGGGTGGGACCTAAATGCCAATCTAGTAGCAAACTTAAATTCATATAGTTGGGACACTAGGATAAAAAGCTCATTAGAGCAATTAACATGAAAATATCTGTAGTAAAGACAGAAGGAAGCCACATCAGGTCTGTAAGAAAGTGACTGAAGTCGAGATGCCAAGGATTGGTTACATTGCAGATACTTCTTTAGATTTTGTCAAGAATCTGAAAATGAACAGCAGGGGCACCAGACCAGATATGGCAATAGTATTCAGTGCATGGACAAATGGTAGATTTGTAAACTTTCTAGCATGACACAGTGACCAATTCTTTCCCTGCAGTAGATGCAGCTATTAATTCAATGTCGTTGTTCCACTTCAAGTCAGTTGAAAATGTGAGGCCAAGGAGGCATAATGAGATGCTCTCCAAGTGTCAGGCATAAATGAGCCACAGTTTATTTTTTGGACGCTTTAAAATTTACAAATTATTTCTTGCCCCAGTTAATGACTGAATGGAGGTAATTTTTAAGAGCAGCAGCCAGGTTAATTTTGTCAGCTACTGACGAATTTGCTCTATTGAGACAGGTGTAAATAGTAGTGTGATCTGTATAACTACCTACTTGGGAAATGATAACATCAGGAAGATTATTGATGAAGATCAGAAACAAGTGTAGGACCCAGGATAGAGCCTTTGTGGGGGGGCACCTGCATTTGTGTGAAAGGATCTGGAAGCAGGCCCATTCTGGATGACCTTCATTTCATGATTTAATAGGAATGATTTGGTTAAATCCAACAATTGTCCTGGAATACTATAGCCCTAGAGCTTACATAGAAGACCAGCATGCCAAACCCTGTCAAATACCTTTGAGATATTTAGAGCCACAGCATGAGCTTTGCCATTATTATCAAGAGCTTGATATACCTATTTGGGATGGCCATACACACATCAGTGGTAGACTGGGCAAAACGGAATTCTTATTGTTTGTAAGAGAGTAGGTCATGAGTGGTAAGAACTTAACCATTTCAGTATTGATTAAAACCTCAAATACTTTGCTGAAAATTGATAGGAAGCTAATAGGGTACTGATAGCAGTAATTCTTTTGACTATCTCTGTGGGATTTTTAGATGTCTGGAGCTTTAGGGAATGGACAGCAGATGAAATTCTTTTCCGTGACTGGTTCTTAAACTTGTTTGTTAATATCTCGCAGTAGAGAAGCCAATATGTGGTAAAATTTCTGTTTCATTTGAATTATGTATATGAAGTTAAATTGAGAGTCTGTCTATATTTCTGAGATGAGGTATTATGCACATTATTTGGACTACTGTCCTCATCTTTGTCAATTGTTGAAATTTCGAACTGAACTCTTTAATACCAAGGACACATGGCACAGTGGATAAAGGTGTTGGTTAGATCCCAGTGACAGGACCCAAAGAGTGTGAGTTCAATACCTGGTTAAGGCAGTGGAGAACTTTCAGGGGGAAATTAGCAGGAGATAACTGACATCCATCAAACTAGAACAGTCTACCCCAGTGAGCGAAATAAAAGGGTTCAGTTTGAAATTCCAACCACCTGAAAAAGGCTGGAGCGTACAACGGCCAAAACGTTGTGATAAATATGGCGACAAAGATGAGGACAGTAGTTTGAATAATGTAAATAATGATGTTAAATTGGGTTTCCATTATGGAAAACCACACTAGCACATTGGATAAATGCAGGTGGTTTGATCAAAAGATACCAGTTGTACTTCACTGTCAGACATTGTTTGTAGAAGAATTATTTTCCACCCTCCTACCACTTGCTAACAGATGGGATGTGGCAAATCTCTCACTGCTCTATCACTACTACCCTGGAAAGGGCTTCAATGAACTGCATCTCCTGGTTCCACCAGGTCTGACCTTCATGTCTAGGACCTGACATGCCACTTACACAGTAGCAAACCATCCAGATTCCCTTCATATTCCATTGGTGAGAAATAAGTTCTACTCAAACAGCTTCTTTCCATGAATCACTGCTCTATGAAACAAATTCCCAAGAGGATGTTTACCTGATCACTACAATCTTAACTTGTTCAAGTCTAGAGTCAACTGTTATCTTCCCCTCCTATCCATATAAACTACCCTTTAATGTGACTCTCTACCTTGATTGACCCCTGAGGTCTTGTAAAGGATGAAGTTTACTGAAAAAAAAAATGTCAGATTAATAAATAAAAATCTATTAATTTTTGAGAAAATCAGCAGATAATGAAGAGAAAATATACATAGGAGTAACTGAAGGACCCTGGAAACAAAGAAACTACACACACAAAATATCCTTTACAAATAGTAAATACCTGAACAGCAGAAAGCTTTCTAAAAATCTATGGGAAATTCAAAACAAAACCAAATCACACCAAAAATATCATGGAAAATAAGGAAAACAGCATCAACCTACAACAAATAATCCAAAAACTATAACCTCTGTCTGGAGAAAAAAGAGCTTTGTCTTTCCAGACCAACACAAACTAATAAATAAATGAACAGAACTCATTCCTAAATGCAGACAAATTTTTACTACATTATTTAAAAAACTGAAAAATTAAAAAGTAACAAAAATAATTTAATAAATATAAATAAGTAAAAAAAAATACTCAATTCAAATGAATAAATATGTAAATAAATTAAGTAAACAATAAAGAAAATTAACAAACTATGAATGCACACATAAACACAAGTAAATATAATAATAACAATTGACAACAAATAATAAAAAAATCAATAATAAATAATGAGAACAAAATTAACAAACAACACTACAAAATAACCAAATAACATTTATTAAAAGAAATATGTTTTCTCTTGAATACAAGCAAACGAGGCAAATAAACATCTCTTGAATACAAGCATCAGAGGCAAATAAACATCTTTACAAATGCCTATAAATGCATCATATACCAATGACAGTATACACTACACTAACCCTACACAAAAAAGGTGCATTATATGCATATTAATCATAGGAACATCCAACACATAAATATGAATAGACATATTGTGAACATGTGCAAAAACGAGTGAAAGCAATTTCTAACTATATCAATACATACCAATCTGCTTACATGCATTGTATGTCACATCATCAGGTGGTTTGAGTTTTTCCTAATTTTGAGGAAACTAATAAAGAGATTCCTGGTAATTTTTGCAGGATACTTCCTATCATATAAATTATAACAGATTACATATTCACTCATATTTAATAGAATGATCCACTGATATTGCATTTCTGAAGAGGGATGACCAAAAAGAAAAAGTTACGTATCAACTGCAGCAGACGGTGTACATATATAACATGATTATTTACATATGGACTGGCAATTCTGCCAACATTTGGAATACTCATGGACAGATAAGGAAGAGCATTCATGGACAGATAAGGAAGACCATTCATGGATGAATAAGGAAGACTATTTATGGATGGATAATGAGAACCATTCATGGATGGATAAAGAAGAACATCCATGGATGGATAAGGTAGAACATTTACGGATGGATAAGGAAGAGCATTCATGGATAGCTAGAGACCATTTATAGATGGATAAGGAGAACCATTCATGGATGGATAAGAAAGACTATTCATGGACAGATAGGAAGATCATTCATGGATGGCTAGGAAGACCATTGATGGAGGGATAAGGAAGACCATTCATGGATGGATAAGGAGAAGCATTCATGGATGGATGAGGAGAACCATTCACGGATGGATAATGAAGAACATTCATGGATGGATTAGGAAGACTATTCATGGATGGATAGGAAGACTATTCATGGATGGATAGGAAGACCATTCATGGATGGATAAGGAAGAACATTCATGGATAGATAAGGATAACCATTACCAGATGGATAAGGAAGACCATTCATGGATGGATAAGGAGAACCATTCACGGATGGATAAGGAGAACGATTCATGGATGGATAAGGAAGAGCATTTACGGATGGATAAGGAAGAGCATTCATGAATGGATAAGAAAGAATATTCATGGATGGATAAGGAAGACCATTCATGGATAGATAAGGAAGACCATTCATGGATAGATAAGGAAGACCATTCATGGATGGATAAGGAGAACCATTCATGGATGAATAAGGAAGACCATTCACAGATGGATAGGAAGACCATTCATGGATGGATAAGAAAAACTATTCATGGATGTATAGGAAGACCATTCATGGATGGATAAGGAAGAACATTTACGGATGGATAAGGAAGACCATTCATGGATGGATAAGGAAGAACATTAATGGATGGATAAGAAGAACCATTCATGGATGGATAAAAAAGACCATTCATGGATGGATAAGGAGAAGCATTCACGGATGGATAAGGAAGAACCTTTACGGATAGATAAGGAAGAACATTTACGGATGGATAAGGAAGACTATTCATGAATGGATAAGGAAGACTATTCATGGATGGATAAGGAAGACCATTCATGGATGGATAAGGAAGACCATTCATAGAAGGATAAGGAGAACCATTCACGGATGGATGAGGAGAACTATTCATGGATGGATAAGAAAGATAATTCATGGATGGATGAGGAAGACCATTCATGGATGGATAAGGAAGACCACTCGCGGATGGATAAGGATAACCATTCACAGATGGATAAGGAACACCATTCATGGATGGATAAGAAAAACTATTCATGGATGGATAGGAAGACTCTTCATGGATGGATAGGAGAACCATTCATGGATGGATAGGAAGACAATTCATGGATGGATAAGGAAGACCATTCACGGATGGATAAGGAAGACCATTCATGGATGCAAAAGGAAGACCATTCATGGATGCAAAAGGAAGAGCATTCATGGATGGATAAGGAAGACCATTCATGGATGGATAAGGAAGACCATTCATGGATGGATAAGGAGAACCATTCATGGATGGATAAGGAAGACCATTCACGGATGGATAAGGAAGACCATTCACGGATGGATAAGGAAGACCATTCACGGATGGATAAGGAAGACCATTCATGGATGCAAAAGGAAGACCATTCATGGATGCAAAAGGAAGACCATTCATGGATGCAAAAGGAAGAGCATTCATGGATGGATAAGGAAGACCATTCATGGATGGATAAGGAAGAATATTCATGGATGGATAAGGAAGACCATTCATGGATGGATAAGGAGAACCATTCATGGATGGATAAGGAAGAGCATTCATGGATGGATTAGAAGACCATTCATGGATGGATAAGGAGAACCATTCACAGATGGATAAGGAAGACCATTCATGCATGGGTAAGGAGAACCATTCACAGATTGATAAGTAGAACCATTCATGGATGTATAAGGAAGACCATTCACGGATGGATAAGAATAACCATTTATGGATGGATAAGGAATATTCTTTATGGATGGATAAGGAAGAACATTCATGTACAGATAAGGAGTACTATTCACGTACAGATGAGGAAGACAATCCACGTACAGATAAGGATAACTGTTGAGATGTTGGGAGTGTTCCCGCGCGTGCGTATTCGAAGAAAGACAAACACAGTTGTAGTGATAAATACTGGTATATTTGTAAGAGGTAATTAATAACAGAGTCATTATTAATAACGAACGCTAGTTAGTAAGTAACAATAGCAAAAGTCTATAGTCCAACGGTATGTACTGGTAACCTGATCTTGACTGCTGTCGCTGAACCTGATCCTACATCCATTCACTTCTCTCTCTAGCACTGACTTATATCATAGAGGGATCAGTCCATTCTTAGTCAGAATGTGGGTGCGCCCCAACAATAACCATTTATGGATGGATGAGGAGGATCTTTCACAGACAGATAAGGAAGACACTTCATGCACAGATGGATAAGCAAGACCATTCACATACGGAAAAGGAAGACCATTCATAGATGGATAAGGAGGACTCTTCATGGATGGATAAGGAAGACCCTTCATAGACAGATAATCACACGCATAATATCATGCATTTGTGCATCAACTCCAACAGAGTGTTTTGTGAACATGGAAATAAATTATATATATAAATTTCTAAGATCTTTGTACACTGTCAAATTACATTGCATTTCACATAAATAGACACATTTATATATTTTTTATACTTTTTAGAAAAATGCAGAAGACACATATTCGCATTGTTAATGTGCAGAATTGACAGAACATCGGATTGTGAGCAAAAGGAACATACCAAGATGCAAACTCTGAAATGGAGATATGAAAATGAAGCAAATACAAAAATTTAAACATCTAGGAAGTGTTATAAGAGAGGATAGAAAATCCAACACCAAAAATGCCTTCCAAAAACTGAACAGATTATTAAGAAACAGGAAAATTTCATTAGAAATAAAGAAAAGAGGGACAGATTTTTATGCAATATCGGTCCTATATGGCAGTGAATGCTGGACAATCTCCTCACAGGTGAAGAGGCTTGCAGTAGCAGAAATGTGGTTCTACAGGAGGATGCTGAGAATGCTATAGACTGAACATATAAGCAACAACAATGTTTTAGTTGAAATGGAAACAAAAAGGACAGTTATAAATTGTAGTAGATGACCATTCACTTTTATGGTGTAGCAACTCTTTGATAATTTTCACATTCTTAGCCAGATTACTGAGACCCTAAGAAACATTTTATTGGAATTACCAATTATAATTACAGATTGTGTGCAAAGTTTATGAAACAGTTGTTTTGAAGAAAAAACTGAAAACATTGTCATTGTAATGAGAAAAATATTATAAAGACCATATTAGATGTGAAGTATGTTATGAAACTAATTTTAAAATTTCTTCATTCACTGATTTTGATGCCAAGCATTTTTTATAACCCACTCCTAGAAGTTATTCTATTATGTCTCACTTTGGCTACTTGCCATGATATCATTAGAGTTCTTCCTAACTGACTACAATGAACTTCTACTGTCCCACTTTGAGTTCTTTATTTAAGGCATCTTACCTAGTTCATTTGTGTTACTGGGGGTATCATATTTACTTCACAACATCTCTTTTGAAATTTTTTTTCACTAGTAAATTTATTTCTTACTATTTACCCACTCCTCTTTCTGGTGAGTTCGCCATGTACTGAAATTCCTTTTATTCTGAGTCAACCTCTAGTTTTTCTCTATGTTCCTTTTTCTGGTAATCATACTTGTACGTTCAATGAACTTTTGGGGCTGTTGGTATATTAAAAGTATTATGCAATACTTGCATATGTTCTTCCTTTCTTGTGGGCCTTTCTTCAGTAAACCTTTTCTTTAACTGATTCCAATGCCTTTTGTGTTCCCATTTTTTTTTTACCTTTACCATATATATCATTTTTCCAATTCATTACCTTATTACACCATCTTCCTACATTTCATTTCCATTTTTATAGACACTTTTTGCCAATTTGGAAAAATTTTGGGTTCTTTTTGTTCTTATTCTTTTTTGACCTGGTATCAACTTGTCGAACACCAATTTAATTTTTCTTGTGAATATCAATTCTGCTGGTGACATGTCTATCGGTATATTGGGATTTGGCGTTATCCAGTATACTCTCAAGAATTTTTGTAGTGCTTCTGCATAAACTTTTTCATTACTTGCTTTTTTCAAAGCTCTCTTAAAAGTACCCAAAAACCGTTCAGCTTGTCCATTTGACCTTGTATGATATGCAATCAAAAACATTTTACAAAAGTCTTTAAATTCGTAAGCATTGGGTATAGTTATCCAAGACTATGACAGCATTACAAAGTTTATTTTGTTCATAAGTTGCTATCTACCAATGTCAAACTTTAGAATACTCTACAGGTTGAGGTCAGAAGTGAACAAGCTGGTCAATTTTTCAAATGAGTGTATTTGAAACCATTTCTTCCTGATATTCAATAGTACTTTTAAGTGACTTTTATGCTGCATTGTTATTCATAAAAATAATAAAAATAAGACCATTTGGAACTGACCATTTTACTACTCATAAACCTACTCCAAAAATCTGTAGCAATATCAGTCAGCTGAGGTCTTGTTAAAGTGAAAACAACTGGACCTTTTTGCAAAAATTTACTTTTGACCAATGCTTATCAGTAAGTGAAGTCAACTTTAAAGTATAGAGCAAGAGGCTCAGACAGAGAAAAAGTCACAAAATGCAGTCAAACTATGTTTTTAAATAAAGATGACACGACAAAGAAAATTGTTATCTATAAAACTGACCATCCTATGAAAAGCCACACAGAATGCCTCCTCTACACCACATCTCAACTTAGCTCGCTTATAGCAGTAGGTTACAACTCCAGAATAAAAACTGGTTTACTGCTAGAAATTGTTTTGTTTTTTTACTTGTGGGTCAGGTCAAAAAGTAATTTTTAAGTGACAAGCATTTGACTGGAAGAAGCTGCACCTTTGCAGTGAACCTGTTGTCTGGTATATGCTGCAACACATCACACCAAATCTGCCTTGTTGACATCTCAACCTGGACAGTTGGTTTCTGCCAGTACACAACTGTACTCTGCTATTTTGATTGAGGGTAACATAGCACTTGTCAGTAAAAAGAATGGTTGAGAAATGAATTTTCATAAAATTTCTTTACAAATGTCTTTTAAGGATAGTTAACCAATCTGTCTCCCATGTTTTGCCACTTGATTTAGGACCTGACATCTTGTGTGTTTTAACATATCTTAACTGCCACAGTATCTAAAACTATCATGCCTTGATTTTCTTTTATAACTTCTCTCCAGATTTGGGACACAGGGTAGTGAGAAAAAGAATTTGTCCCTAAAGTTACATAGGATTTTTCAAGATCGACAGCTTCTTCAGATATTGGAGGTATCAGCCAATCATATTTCCAGGATTGTTTTCCCCTTTAAAAACCCAAAAGCTGTTAAATATTTTATCTGTCAAATCAGTTTTAATTTCATTTTAAAGCACAAAATACTATTCATCTAAGTATATACTGAAAATTTAACCAACATTGGCAGATTAATATCTTTTCAATTTCGCACCAAAGTGACATGGCTTCCTTCCATCTTTTCTATAAATATTTTCATGGCAATTGTTTTTATTTTTTCTCTTCCTTGGTTCTTCAACTATATGAATTTAAGCATAATACTAAGATGGCAATTAAATCTCATCGTTTTACTGTTTAGACAGATATAAGTGTAAAGTCTATTCTAATAGATTCTTTTCTCACATTTCTAACCTGTGGAACTCTCTTTTGGTTTCTTGCTTCCCTGCTACTTATAATCTTCAAAAAACTGCATTGGATTTGATCAGGACCTACAATGAGTTTACAGAATTATTTTATCTTTTGCAAGCCTTAAAACTGTTAAATATTTTATCTGTCAAATCAAAGTTTTACTTTCATTTTAAAGCTTTGAACTCACAACGTGGCTATAAAAATCCGGGACATTAAAATTCTGCATTTTACATCGCAATGGCTGTTATTTGTTTACATTTGTGCAGAAGGAATTGGTTTTAATCCAAACTACACAGATAAATGTTTCCATCATTCAGCAAATAAGTCTTTAGATTGCAATAAGTATTTATTTTATATATCAATAAAACATAAGATGGCTAATAATAGGAGACTTTGCCTGAATGTGTATATATGTATACACACACACATATATATATATATATATATCAAAGATAGGTCGATAAGTAGATATATATGTAATTCTAAATCACTTTCAATTTGTATTATAATTATATATATATATATATATATATATATATATATATATATGAATCTCACACACACATCCCTCTTTCTCTCTCATATATATATGTACCAATCTATGTAAAATAAAGCAGTCTTAGGAATTATTGCACTTGGGAGAACTTCATTAAAGAAAAAAATTGGAACATTTTCTGGTGCATTCAACACTACATCATTTTTATTTAAAGATTTTCATAAGACAGATTTCCCTTGCATTTTTCTGATTTGTCCGACAGATAAATAGGCAAAATTGTATAAAAGATGTTTGTAGGGGAAAAAACAAACAAAATGTCTGCCGAAAAGAAAATTGAAGAAATTGAGGAGAAAAAAAAGTATTTCAGTAGGATAAAGAAAATTCTCTTCAAATCAAACAATGTCTAAATAAATTTAAGTTGATTGAATGCATAAAATTGATTCATTGTGAGAGAAGACATAGACAAAAACACATACATACATTTTTGCATTTTTATATATTTGTGTGTATATATATGCAGGCATGTTTATGTATATAAATAT